CCGCTGTCTCAGCTAGCAGCAGGAGTGGTTCGCCCCCCGCGGGCTGCAGGTCCTCGGCTTCCCTTGCAACCAGTTCGGGCACCAGGTAGGGCGGGCGGTGGGGCCGGGGAGCGGGGGGACCCGCCCGTCCCGGCGGGGCTCTCACCGGCCTTGCTCGGGGCGGTGTTGTTTGTGTTTCCCCAGGAAAATACTACGAATGAGGAGATCATGCTTGCGCTGGAGCACGTTCGTCCTGGCAACGGGTACAAGCCCAATTTCATCATGTTCGAGAAGTGCGAGGTGAACGGGAAGAACGCGCACCCCCTCTTCACCCTCCTGAAAGAGGCGCTGCCCTTCCCGCACGACGACCCCTCCTCCCTGATGACCAACCCGCAGTACATCATCTGGTCCCCCGTCTGTCGCAATGACGTCTCCTGGAACTTCGAGAAGTTCCTCATCGGCCCCGACGGCGTCCCCTTCAAACGCTACAGCCGGCACTTCGAAACCATCAAGATCCAGGATGATATTGAATTGCTTCTGCAGAAGGTTCCCAAGAATGCTCTTGGATAAAGAGGAGGTTTTTTTTTTTCACGCAGGGGGCTGCTGCTCTTGGCAGAAATCCCAACATCTCGTGCAGGTTTTGCTTATGATGGTGCATCTTCCAAATTCTTGAAGTGTACTTGATGTTTTCAAAGGTTGCATGTGAATGTTTGGGAAACTATGCTCTGAGTCTCAGTAGCTTACTGTGATTCCCTGAAGAAATAAAAAGTGTGTACTTTCTCTAAGGCCGTGGCTTTGGCTTGGTAAATCTAGGTGATTGGGTGAAACATGGTGACCACGAGGCCCGTGTGTGGGGGCTCAGAGGGGCAGACTCAAACCACTGGGGTGTGATGGTGCAGTCAGGCTGAAATCTGAGTGCAGCCAAGGGCAGGGCAATGGGCAAACAGTGTTTGTGAGCTCTGCAAACTGAATCAGGGCTGGGCTCTCCCTGCGTGCAACGAGTGGAAGGGTGGCACAGAGCAAATACCTTGCCAAACTGTTCTCTAGACTTCCCTTGAGGCTTGCCCATAGCAGAAAGGCACAGTGGCACACAGCCAGGGAGTTATTCTGGCTGAAGTCCCAGCTTGGTTACCAACAACAGGCCATGACAGGTTAATAATTGTTCAGGCAGGCAGGTGAGCAATTCTGCAGCCTGCACTGCTGCAGAATCTGCATCTGCACTGGCAGAGGGCTTGGGGAAGAAAAGCTCTTGAGCCAAGGCCCCTCTCATCATCAGGCATCCATCAGCAGATGCCCAAGGAAGACCCAAAGCCAGAGCAGTGCCCACCATCCCTCTCCTTGTTCCAGAGATGCTGCCCCAGCCCTGGCTCAACCATCTACTGGCTTGATCCCATTTTGCATCAGTGGTAGCCCAGCACAGATCTCTTGTGTACTCACACAGTCCTACATGAAGCCTGTAATGGCTGCATTCCCAACACCTTGCAATGCAGGGAATCACACAAAGAACCAGTTCCTTCACGTTCCCAGCACAGAACTCCAGCCCACTCAATCACAAAAAACTGTGCCATGCCCCAGAGCATCCTTCTTGCCCTTTGGGTACCAGACTTTCATGTGGCAAAGTGCAGGTATGCCAGGGTTCAGACAATATTTTCTTCTTCTTACTCCTTCCCTAACGCTTTATTGACTTCTGCCAACCACAGGCCTGACAGGTATTCATGGAGTGGTTACAGTAATTCTGGTACATTGTTCCTGTGTGGCAATCCTGAGTTTACAGCCTGTTGCCAAATGATTTAAGAGCAGCTTCCCCTGTGAAACCATAAGCCTGTGCTAAATTTCAGCAGCCATCTTACTGCCCAGTGGCTCAGGTCCTTCTGCAGGTGAATTTTCACTCAAATGGCTCTCTGACCATATTTTCATTACAAGCCAGTCCTCACGAGGCCTCATAGCACCCAGTATAAACTTGGTGCTGGACTGAGGAGTACTAACACAGACCAGACACTCAGGCTTTCAAGGGGAAGGTGCAACACTTGCAAGCACGACTGTGCTGTTTTTATAATAAACAACACCTGGGATTTGAGGCTTTTGGGTTGTTGTGTTGTTTTTTTTCCTGTTCATAGCTGCTCACCTCACCTATTTGTTGGGTGCTTTGTTACTGTACCTGCATTCAAGGCCCCTTCTGGGCTGAGGAGAGGCCCTGGGGCAAAAACCTACACCAAGCTCCACCCTGCTTGCTGCTGCCCTTGAGTCATCGAGCTTTGAACTCAGGTTGCACAATCCCCAGTGGGCTATTTCTTAACTACCAGTGCAGCTTCACGATAAAAACAGGATGTTTTCAGCAGCTACTTCAGTTTTGGAGCAGAAGCTGCTTGATTTGGGGGATTATTTTTTCAGTTAAATCTACTTCCCTCATTAATGCAGGATGTTAAAATATGTGGAGAGTAGAGGGGATTATGGGCAGCAGGAACTCAGGCATTGAAAAATCATTCTCGACATGAGCTGTGGCACTTCCTCAATCATGACTCACCAAACAGCCGTTTGAGTGGGACCTCCTTTTCTTTGCCTTTTCCTTGCTTTTCCTGTTCCCTGCTGAGACCCACCACCACAGGGGAGCAGACCCTCATCCTGCTGCTGTTCCACTGGCAGCCCTGCCAAAAAGGGTCCTTCCCTGAGCCTGCTGGTCAGAAAGGCATCTTACACCGTGCTTATTCAGTGCTATCAGCCAAGGGATTTATTTACCTTCCGGCTGCTGGGGCTGTGCTAGCAGAAAAACAAAGCAGCAGCTCCAGAACAGATACAGCCGCGCCAGCAGAAGTACAGCGATGCAATTCCAGGATGAAAATCAGCCGTGCCAGCAGGAAAACGAATGATCCCAGTGTAAGCACACCAGCAGGGACTCCGCAGCGCAGATAAAAGCCTCTCAGCATTGTTGTTCCCCATCTCGTTTCAGCATTCCCCAGAGCAGCTGGCTCTGGGGTACAGCAGGCTGCGGGGAGGGCAGCCTGCGGGCAGACCCTTTGGCAGCAGCGCCCGCATGTAGCGCGGCCACACACCGGCTCTCGCACCCAAACCTTGCTCAGTGTGTCACCAGAGGGAAGAAAACACTTCACTAGAGGCAGCAGCTCTATGCTGAGGGTAGGCCTGAAGAATCCTCAGGGATTATAAAATGGCCCAGTGCTATTTCTGTAATACCAGAAACAGACTGACTCAGTAGGAAACCTTAAAATACATCCTAGCACTTTAGCATGCTTGGATGCTTCTGTGGCTTGAGAAAGTTGTCCTTTCAACATCTTGTGTCTATCACATCTACACTCCTACCACTCTATTTTTTTCTACTTCTACACTTTTATTATAAACAGCTGATCTCTCTGTTAGCATTCACTGTGCTCGTCCATTCTTCTACAGATCAGAGTCCTGTATATCCCCCCCCTTCTAGAGAGTGTCTGCCCCCCTTCCTTCTCCTCCCAATGTTCCCTCCCCTCATTAGCAGCTGGTAGTTACCATCACATTATTAAATCTTTAAACAAGTTCAGATATTTCAAGCTGTCAGGAGTTTTAACTAGCCGCAAAGAAGATTATCCTTCTCACCCCCATCTCCAGCCACCCATGTTCCCTGGTGTTTTGCCCACCAACCCTAGCACATCTCCTGAAGTCATGGCAGATGAGATGTGGAATTCAGAAGTGTATGCTCAACAGAAATGATGTCAAGTGAAGCCTAAGACCTCTCTTACTCAGCCTGTTAAATGTTCTTTCAGCTATTTAAAATCCCTTTCTCCTCCTGCTGAGCTTTATTGCACCCACTAACTTCTCAGATAGCTTTCAGCCTGTTTTTGATCATTGCCACCGTGAGGCAGATAGAAAACACTGGCTTTGAATTGGGTGGCTTTGTTCCTGTTGGTGCCACTCTCACAGGGAGTGGCTGGAGACAGGGCAAGAAGCTGAATGGCTGGAAGGAAAGTGACTGGAGAGACAGAACAGTCACCCCTACCTACGGTGAAACTAATAATGTAATTTCCTAGCACTGAATCAGAAAGCTTTGAAAGAGACCATTTTAAGTGCTTACCACACTTTCTGTTAGGAGTAGGTAATTCATTAGCAGAGTGAGGTCAGCCACATAAGCACTATCTCCGAATAGCTGACTCGTTTTAAAAACACACCCAGTATCACCACAACTGGGTGTATGAGCTTCTTTGTGGGTGAACAGGGCCCTGCCCTTTGAGAAAAACAGGACAAAGAAACAGGAGCCAAGTCTTGCTGGAAAGAGAAAACTGTCTTTCTTTTTTAGCGTTAATCGGATGGACTGCTCTCAAAAAGATGAAACCCGTTCAGTTTCAGCCCGGGTAGCTGCAGCCCTGCCAGGCCACGGGGACTGCCCGGGCGCTGCCCTGCACAGACACAGCCCAGCCCTTCATTCCCTGCTGCTTTCATTTCCCATCAGGTAGATGGATTTATGTGGCCTGGAAGTTTAAAGCAGGTTTTTAAGTCAGAATCTTCTAACTCCTGCCCAGCTTCCCACTCCTGAAGCGCAGGCAGGAACCCCTTCTCCCCAGGGTCTCCCCAGGGTCTCCCCAGGCACTTCCGAACTCCCGAGGGCTCCCTCGCTGGTTACTCAGATCCGTCGTTTATTCCTGCCCCAGTTGGGACCCCCTCCCTGACCGGAAGGCTCCACGAAGTGAAGCACAAGGCGAGCAGGGCAGATCTCACAACCGAAACCACACACCCCGCACCAAAAGTCTCTGCTCCGGAGGAGCCCGCCCAGGCGGGCGGACCCGATCCCAGTGTAAGCACACCAGCAGGGACTCCGCAGCGCAGATAAAAGCCTCTCAGCATTGTTGTTCCCCATCTCGTTTCAGCATTCCCCAGAGCAGCTGGCTCTGGGGTACAGCAGGCTGCGGGGAGGGCAGCCTGCGGGCAGACCCTTTGGCAGCAGCGCCCGCATGTAGCGCGGCCACACACCGGCTCTCGCACCCAAACCTTGCTCAGTGTGTCACCAGAGGGAAGAAAACACTTCACTAGAGGCAGCAGCTCTATGCTGAGGGTAGGCCTGAAGAATCCTCAGGGATTATAAAATGGCCCAGTGCTATTTCTGTAATACCAGAAACAGACTGACTCAGTAGGAAACCTTAAAATACATCCTAGCACTTTAGCATGCTTGGATGCTTCTGTGGCTTGAGAAAGTTGTCCTTTCAACATCTTGTGTCTATCACATCTACACTCCTACCACTCTATTTTTTTCTACTTCTACACTTTTATTATAAACAGCTGATCTCTCTGTTAGCATTCACTGTGCTCGTCCATTCTTCTACAGATCAGAGTCCTGTATATCCCCCCCCTTCTAGAGAGTGTCTGCCCCCCTTCCTTCTCCTCCCAATGTTCCCTCCCCTCATTAGCAGCTGGTAGTTACCATCACATTATTAAATCTTTAAACAAGTTCAGATATTTCAAGCTGTCAGGAGTTTTAACTAGCCGCAAAGAAGATTATCCTTCTCACCCCCATCTCCAGCCACCCATGTTCCCTGGTGTTTTGCCCACCAACCCTAGCACATCTCCTGAAGTCATGGCAGATGAGATGT